GATCGCTCCGGGCTGGGCGATCGCCGCGGAGTCGGCACGGCGCGAGCTTCGGATGCACCTCCCGGGAGGTCAATCTCCTGGCTTTGCCCTCGTCCGAAACCCAGCTTCATCCAGCTGCATCCTTCCGAATCCCGCTTAACCCTGCATGATCCCGCCTCATGCCGCCTAGTCCGCGGCCTAATCTGTCGTAGTAGCCCCCCAACGGGGCTTACGTCTCCTTAATCTCGGAGAGAGAAGATGCGACACCAACAACACCAGGGGGGCCGCCACCAATGAGGAGGTCCACGATGCCTCAACGAGCTGGAGGCTGGAGATGTCTCGAGCGAGAGGGGGGGCCCACACCACCAGGGAGACCCCCCCTGCCTCCTCGCATCTCCTCGCCCTGGTGGTGTTGGTGCCGCCTTTTCTTGTTTCCTTATAACCCTGCCGACGAAGACCTCCTAGTATTACGTCGGCTATGTCCTTCTCCAGGTGGACAATTCACAAATAGTGAAACAGTTAGTCTGGGGACGGTCTCTTGCTTTTTTGTCGTTCTTTTTGCGCATTCTCTGACTACTGGTTAGGTTGCCTCCAGAGTCCGCCTGTAGGAGAACATGCCCGAGCTAAATTCAGGAGGGGGAAAACGCACAGACACAATTAATCGTCAATTCCAGAGAAAATATAGGAAAATATGGGGAGTGGGGGGGAAGACGAAAACCCAGAAGATATAGGAAAATATGGGGAATCCTGTTATTTGGTGTCTTTTCATTTGTGTGTCCCAGGGCCCCTTGATAAATCCCAGGAGCTGCCTCCCAAACCAGCGCCGAGAGCTTTCGGCACGCGGCGCGAGCCTGCCGTGCTCGGTTCCCGGAGGCCTCCGCGCCGCGCCGGGAGAGCGCGCGCGGCGGGGGCGAGCTTCGCCCCCGCGGCGCTCGAGCAGCGGCGACGCGTCCCGGCGCACCTGTAGGCCCACCGCAGAATCGGGGGCGGCAAAGAGGGGGGTGCTGACTGAGGAGGAGGAGGAGGAGGAGGAGGAGGAGGAGGAGGAGGAGGAGGAAGGAGGAGGGAGGCGGGAGAGAGGACAATGAGGAGAGGAGGAGGAGAGGCCGGGAGGAGGGAGGCGGAGTAGAGGAGGAGGAGGGAGGAGGAGGAGGAAGAGGAGGGGGGGGGTGGACATCATGGGCGGGGGCCATGGTATGTACCCCCCCAGATTTCACATGGCGCCTCTTCTCATTTCTTTACGTCCTGCCCCCCCCCCGCTGGGCCGCGCAGATTCCGCCGGTCATGATTTGCACCACCCCCTTTTTGGACACCCCCCTCTTGGCCGCCCCCGAAAGAGCCTTTTGTGGTCTGCGCGAGGTGCTCTTCGAGCATTTCTGGCCGAGTCTGCCTGCCTTGGTTTAGTACGCCGCGAACACGTTCTGAGACCATGTGCTCCGTTCTCAGAACCCTTTTTGGGGGTTCGGAGTACGTGTCGTGGCAGACCTACAGTCGAGGTCGATTAGTAGGTCGACCCTGCCAATTAAGGGTACCCTTGTGCCCTGTGTGTCGCGACCTGTGCCTCCTACATTCCTGTGGCAGTGTGGCCCTCGGAAGGGTCTTGCGTCCTATCGCGTGTCCTATCCAATCAATCCCGACTGTATGTAGGAATGCCAGAACGGCCGCCCCCGCTGCGCCGAGGCAGGCCAGCCATAACTGGGGGAGCTGTTGTCCTTACCCCCCTGGGGGATCCATCGATTTCGACACCCCTCTCGAGAGGTCGTCGATGCGATGGGTTCTCCCAGAGGAGGAGGAGGAGGAGGAGGAGGAGGAGGAAGGAGGAGGACGAGGAGGAGGAGGAGGAGGAGGAGGAGGGGGCTCGATGGCCCAAGGGATGCTCGACGCAGCGCCACGAGCACACGAAGAGTCGACGAAGGAGGTATTCGAGCCGACGAGTCGAAGGCGCGTGCTCGACGAAGGGGGTGCTCGACGGCACGTCCTCGGAGCAGGACGCAGCGCCACGAGCATACGAAGAGTCGACGAGGGAGGCCTGGCATCGCTTGGACGTGTGCTTTCTTTCTCAGCGAGAACCATCGAGGACCATCCTCGACCAACGAGAAAAAACAACACTCACGAAACCGGAAAATGCACGGGAAATGGACGTCCGAGCGACGGCGAGAAGGTATTCGAGCCGACGAGTCGAAGGCGCGCGATCGACGAAGGGGGTGCGACGCGTGATCGAAGCGGGGGCGGCGCTTGAGCTTTTGGCGCTCCGCGCGGGCTTCTTGCAGCCGCACTGGGCCTCCCCCCCCCCGGCGGCGCCTCCGGCGCCGCCCCTGGCGCGCTCCGCGCGCCAGGGAGGGGGGTCCAGCGCGGATCCAAGAAATCCGCGGAGCGCCAAGAGTTTACGTTTGCGGCGTTTTTGATTATCATTGTTCTTTTCTTTTTTAGTTTTTAGTTTCTAGCTTCTTCTTCTTCTTCTTTCTTTTCTTTTTTAGTTTTTAGTTTCTAGCTTCTTCTTCTTCTTCTTCTGCTTTCTCTTCTTCTTCTTCTAGCTTCTAGCATCGCCTGCCGCGACCTCTTGCAGCGGCGGCCCCGCCGCGGGCGTTCGAGGCGGAACGCCTCCCGCGGCCCAGAGACGGGGCGCGCCCTGTAATGCAGGGCTCCTTTCGGCTCCTCCGACGCGCTTCGGTTCGAGTTCGTTGGCCTCCGATTTCGATTCGATTCGACTTTGGGTTCCGAGTTCCGTTTTTCTTGGGGAGGCAGACTGGACTGCTGATTTTCGCCGAATCGCTCTGTTCCGATTCGGCTGCCGATTTCCGCCAATCCGATTCGTTTTCATCGCCGATTCGACTTCTCAATTCGATTCTGGGCTCTCATGGTAATCTTCGACGACACGTAAGTTAGGAGGCAATTGTTGGGAGGTCGTCGTCGGAAGGGTTAGGGCTAATGCAGCACCACTTGGGGACGACTACGCGGAATGAGGCCGCGAATGAAGGGGGATTGAGCTGGACTGAGCCGGATGAAGCTGGATCAAGCTGGATGAAGCCGGATGTCGGACCAGGGCAAAGTCAGAAAGTGACCCCCCAGGAGTTGAATCCGAGCGTAAGAGTGACCTCCCCCCTCGCGCGTTCCCCCCCCCTCGAGGCCGCGCACCATAGGTCCCTGTTGCCTGCCTGGGGTCAACTCTGCGTGCAGCCGAAGTGCTCGGCAGGGTGGATAACATGTTCGTGTTCGGATGGTCGCAAACTGTTCGTCAACGGTTCAGGACCATCTCTTTGCGAACTCCATTGCCCCCGAGGGCCGTCTCGACGGCCGCTCGGCTGAGGTGTACGAGATCAGTTGAACTCGAACGGTTCGTAGATGGTTCGGGAACCTCTGTTCGCGAACGATGCTCAGGTCAGCTCTATCCCAGAGAGAGAGAGTAGTCCAGCAGCACCTTTAATGCCCGGTGCCTCAGTGGGGTTGCTTGATGAATGGTGCCTGCTCGCGCGCCGTTTGGCGCAATGATCATGTAAAGATTGTAATGTGCATGGCAGCGGCGTGCAATCAAATTCATATTGCTCCTCCCTTGTCCGTGCGTCGGCAAAACAAAAAAGATATTGTTTGTTGTTCTCTGGCGTACAACGGGCCCAGAGGGTCCGGGCTCAAATCCCAGGTTCGCATCGTGCCGTCGCGGCTGCGCCTCTCCGACGCCCCGAACCACCGTCGGCTTTTTAGCGCGCACGCCGCGTGCGCACGACTCTGAACATCCGAGTGCCGTTGCTTCCAGCCTAGTGTGTGCATGCATGCATCTGGACTTCATTCCGACGTTCCCTGTGGGGCTGTCGACGGGGGTGACGCCCCCCCCCCCCACCGAGGCTGATGAAGAACTTCGGAGTACACTCGAAGAACAAAACTGCACAAACATGAACTTTCGGCGCTCCGTGCGGATTTCTTGGATCGGCGCCTGAGCCCCCTGGCGGACCCTCCGGAGTCGCCCCTGGCGCGCTCCGCGCGCCAGGGATCGGGGTCCAGTGCAGATCCAAGAAATCAGCGCAGAGCGCCAAAAGTTTATGTCTACGCCGTTTCTTCTTCTTCTTCTTCATCTTCTCCTTCATCTTCTTCTTCAATCCACACATCGAGGCACGGCTGGACAATTCCATGCAAGCCCAGAGCTCTCCAGGGACGCCTGGAGCAGGCCGTGGGCGCCCCAACACGAGCCTCCAGGCCTCCCGGTTGGGGCCAAGGCAGATGGGGTCGGAGGGTCGCGCCGCATCGCTGATGCATCGGGATGGTGGCTCGATGTGGAGCCCGGTGCTCTCCACGCGGGCGGCGGCGATGTATCG